AAAAATTATTTATTTAAAAAAAATTATTCTTGTTATTGTAATCACACAGAATTGCATCAAGTGAATTCTATCTTCTCAGCCTTTGGACAGTTAAGCACATTTACTTTCCTGGACATCAAAGCTGAAATATAAATAATAGTTAAGTTCTCCTTGTACCTCCTTCCTCACATTCAAGGAATTCTACTAACAGCTCTTAAATTCATTTCTTTTATTCCAACAACACTGCCACTACATTTCAGATGTGTAAGTCTTGCCTAGATTGATTTTCCTCACTCCAAATAAGTTTGGTTTAAATGCTTCCCCCCTACTGCCAAAGTGACCTAACAAAAAAAATATGACTATCATCCTAATGCTTAAAATCTTTCAATGATTCTAGTATCTAAGGAAAAAATTCAGAACCACATCTTTTCACAAGCAAGTTTGTGTTGATGTTTCAGGCTTCCAAACGAACTGCACCTCAAAGAGATACATTTTTCCAGAGTGTTTTTTTTTCCTTTCACTCTCTTACATATATTGCTGTTCTCTACACTAATAAAGCTTTCCCTATTTATCTAAGTAAATTCAAATCATTCTTTGTTAAGAAGCTGCATCTGCCTCACACCAAGCATGAATAAGCAATATCTAGAACTTCCACAGCATTTTATCTGTACTTCTATTAGCACCTCATTTTATTTCAATGTTAGGATTTGTACTGATTCTTCATCTCATTGTAATAAATGTCAGTTCTGAAAAAGGAGAAATCATGTTTTAGGCATGTGTTCTCCCAGTGTCTAGAAACAGCACGAGCTGAGGGCTCGAAAAATGTTTACTGGATTAATGAATCACATTACAAAAGATAAAAACTATATGACATACTTTAAAAAGATGAAATTACAAGAGTGGAATAAAGAAATGCTATTACTATGTCATCACTGAAAATGCCTTAACTTTGCTGCACAGTGATACTAATTTACTAGCAGATCTGATTCACTTTTTTGAGAATTTAGCCATGATATTACTAATATCTTGGAAATATATACTCTATGGATAGTGACAGAACACAAATTGTCTTTATTCTGGTCACGTATTTGCTTTTAAATTATTTTTACAGTCTTTCAAAAGAGAAAGACAAGCCAGAATAACAGCTGGTTTTCTCCATCATGTAAGCTGCCACCTTGATTTTTCAGTATAAAGTAAAACTAAAGTCATGTATTACATTCTCATTACAATCTCCTTAAAAAAAATAACTTTTGATTATGCTAAATAAGTGATAAGCAGGCAAAGGCCACAATAAATAGACATTAATAAAAGAAGAAATTCAAACGGCCTTCGTAATGCTTCACCAATAATGAAGGAAACGTGGAAAAACAAATACTATTTCCCTATCAGACTCCCAATGCCTAACTGAATGATAATAGCAAATGTTGCTGAGGAGTGTGAAAAAAAAAAAAAAAAAACAAAGGAATACTCAAATACTGTTTGTTGGGAGCTGACACACCATTTTAAAGAAGGCCATTTGGCAGTAACACATCAAAAGTCTTCAAAATGTGTATAACATTTGTCCCTATAATTTATTTCTAGGGATTTAATCTAAAAAAATAATAGATTCAATATATACTAGATACTATATATACTAGATATTATATATATCAAATAGATACTATATATATTAAACCACTGAAAACAACCTAAATCACGATACATAAATATAGTGGTTGGTCACTATTCGTTAAAAAGTAATTACAGAGATTTGGATATATTAGCTTGTAAAGAAGTCCACCAAAACTAAACTCATCCATTTGATTCTTGGGCTTCTTCTTTTGATTGTGTTTCCCAGACTGGTTTTTCCCTGATATTCCATTATCTTTTAATGAGAGTATAGAAACCAGATTGATATCACAACAAAGTCAAAAAACAAGTTATAGAATATTATATATAGCATGAATGTTTTAATAAAATGTATAAGAACAGAAAAAACTTGGGAAGTTATATATTAAGATGCTAATGGAAGGGATCCCTGGGTGGCGCAGCGGTTTGGCGCCTGCCTTTGGCCCAGGGCGCGATCCTGGAGACCCGGGATCGAGTCCCACGTCAGGCTCCCGGTGCATGGAGCCTGCTTCTCCCTCTGCTTGTGTCTCTGCCTCTCTCTCTCTCTGTGACTATCATAAATAAATAAATTAAAAAAAATAAAATAAAAAGATGCTAATGGAAGAAACACACAGACTGGTTAAGAATGACAGTATATTTTCTCCTACACATGGGTTAAATAGTGTAAATCAGATATTTAAGTTGTAATCATAATGTAATAAAGAATATAACTAAATGTTCAATGTCTATTAATTCTCTTTGACAAGAACACAAACAGAAAAGAAATAAGAGATCTTAACTTATAGCTCCATAGTTGTTATTCTGTATATTTAGAAAAATACAAAAAGAACACCAAACAAATGAAGCAACAAACTATGTGATCTGACCAAAATTTATACTTAATAGTTTACAAGCTTTAATTTTAAACCCAGAAAACTGCTTGTCAAAGCTACTAAGTGCTGATATATGACTGTAACTTAATCAAAATTTATATTGTCTTTTAAATGCAAAATAAAGGGGAAAAAATCATCTTAGATGTTAAGAACTATAAAAAGACAGTGAGTTATTTCTTTTTAGAACATTATTCCAGGTGCTATGCCAGCAACTACAAATCCTGGAGTTTGAACTCTCAATGCTTTCTCTTGTTGTTGTTGTCTTTAACTCTCAATGTTTTAAAAAATATCTCCAAAGGAAATCCTAAAATAAAATACAATCTTCACTCAACAATATATGCAATATTATAACATTGTTATTCACCCTGTACTTAAGTTCACATGTACCTAACCCAATACAAAAGTGACAAAGTTCATGAGTTAAATATACCAAGTATATTTTACCTGAGCCCACAGCTAGAAATAATCGAATAAATAAGAGAGAAGGTACTGCTTTTCCCTACACAATAATTCCCATTAATAAATGTAAAAGAAATGAAGAAAATAGAAATTTATCATTAGATAAACACCATGTAATAATAGTTACTTACCAGCAAGATCCACCAATGGATGCTAAAGTGAGTGGGTGAAAGCTTAAGAAAAAACGGGGTATTTGCATAGTCTCAGAGTATCTTCTCAAGATCTTTATTAAATACAAAGAAAAAAATATTTTTTCCAGTGGAGAAACCCAGCAGAAACTATCTAACTCCATGAGATGGTAGTTAACATAGAAAGACATCAACAAAAAAAAAAAAAAAAAAGAAAGAAAGAAAGACATCAACATCACTCTTGATGTTATGTGTTTTAAAAAGACACATCACTTTCGTGTCTTTCCAAAATGCATAGCTTCAACCTAATCGTAAGACATCACATAAACTCAAATTGAGAGGCATTCAATGAAGTAACTGACCATTACTCTTCAAAACTGTCAGACGAACTTAAGAGACATGACAAATAATGTAGTATGAAATGCCAAACTAGATTTTAGAGGAGAAAATGAGTATTAATGAAAAACTGGTGAAATAGCTTAGTTAAGAATGTTATACTGATGCCAATTTCTTAAGTTTTGATAAATGTACTTCTGTTACTGTAAGATGTTACAACTGGGGAAGCTGGTAAAGGGTAAATGGGTACTCTGTACTGATTTTACAACTTTTGTCTAAGTCAAAAATGATTCAAAATTTAAAAAAATGTAAACATTATTTTTATCTACTTAATGAATGTTGTCAAGTAAACTTTAAAAATTATTTGTAACAAACTTGGGGCTGACTCGTATCTAAAACTAGAAGATAATATCACTTAACTTACCAAAATGTACTTGTGCAATAGGAATGATAATACCTATTATGCAGTTCTCCTCTGAGGATTAGAAATAACTTTCTTTCTGATCTAGCAAGAAAACAGTAAAGCACAATGGTATGGGCTTTTGCATTATCAGCTCCGTGTCCCTGAGCAAATTGTCTAACTCCTCTGTGTTTCAGTTTCCTCTGTACACAATGCAGGTAAAGTTAAATTTAGCTTAAAGGATCCTGGATAATGAGCTAGGATAAAAGTAAATTATGAATACAAAGCATTTGACTCAGTATCCAGTACAGAGTTCAAAAAAGATTTAAGGTATAACAGAATGAATGTTGAAGTGGGTAGTCACTATTAATAAATTTAATGTAGTGCCCATGTACTGCCAAATATAATTCACATACATAACTGCCAAGTTATTAAGAAAGGATGGAGATAAATCTGGAATACTCTCTTCATAAAATAGGGATACATTTAATATACAAATAAAAGATTTCCACTCAGAGTAGCAAAGAATATGGGTGCTTTAAAAAACAAACTCTTAGCTACCAGGAAAACACAGCTGTTTAAATTAATTTTGGATAAAACCAGAAGTCCTGGTTTAAGCAAGAAAAGGCCTGGGACAAACAAGATAGACACACAGATTAAGAATCACTAGATAATAAAAATCTATTTGATAGTGAAACATTTTCCATAAATGTTATTTGCCTTTATTTTTGCACTAATATCAGTACATTAAAAGATTATTTCAATGAAAATAAAAATTTCTACCCACGACTATTTCCAACATCTATTATTAACCCAACTGCCCTGGGAATGGTCTCTTAAATTCAGTGGTTGCCTAATATATTCTAAATTTTAGGCTCATAACCATTTAAAACAAGAAAATTACATCATGAAAGACTATAATTATAATACAGTTCAACAAAACACAATTTTGAAGCTATAACTCATCTACAGTTCATACGTGGATCCTGAATTTAATGAAAATGCTAATTTAAAAAAAAGGTTTCACACTGTTATCTCCTGATTGTGCAACCACCCTGATAATTTCAGGTCACAAAAAATTTTAAGTAAGATTTCAAAATGCTTTTCTACATGTATCTATTATACTTGGGAATATTCTAAAACCATCTCTATTTCTACCTTTCATACAACTATTTGAAACCCTTCACAGGTGTCAACAAATAAACTGTACACACTTACCAACACCTTGAGGCCGACTCAACCTTACAGAATTATTTTCAAATTTTTGGACATGAGGTGGGTATTCTTTCCTAAAAAAGGAAATTTATATAGCTTTATTCTAACAGAAAAAAATATTTTCAAAATGAAAAGGCTGAGGAAATACTTACAATATGTTTATTAAAAGAAAACAATAGCTTCTTTGCCACATAAAAAAAAAGTGATACTATAAAATAAAACTGTATTATAAGATATACTAAAGCTTATTACATTGTAAGGTCCCTAAGAACAGTGACCATATTTTATTTAGACTGTTAATCAAAGCCCATAGTAAGCAGATTTTCAAATATATAGTTAATAATAAATGAATCCAAATCATTGTCGTTTCAGAGTAGCCACCAAAGTTATATGGTGCACAAAACTTTAGTTTTCTTTTGGAACTGTCTTCATAATCAATTCAAAAAACCACATAAAAAAAGGAAAATGTATTACTTCATTGTCACACATTTTCTAAATTAAAAAAATCAGCTTAAAAATAACCAATTTGACCAATTTTACTGTAAATGTTTTTAGTTATTCAAAAACAAGTCAATGACTAAAGGAATAAATGGCTATTGAGATACTGGCCTTGAGGACATTTCAAAGTCAGCACAAAAAATGTTATGTACAAAACCAGAAATTATGAAGTATTTTAGTCTTGTACTATGACTATATTATGAAGATATAATACTTTAAAAACTTCTAAAAATATTCCCATCTTACTTAGCCAAGGAATTAAAAATAGAAGAAGCTATATTATTATTTGTAAATTCATACACATTAGCATTCAACACCTATAGGGGTATACAATTAAACAAAAACCATAAATAAATTTTTCTAAAAGAAATTTCATATTCTTATGTTATAAAAATCAAAGCACTCAAAAAAAAAATATGGGAATGAAACAAGAAAATAGTTAATAGTAGTGATAGTAGTGTATTTATAATAGCAGTTAGCAGATAGTGAGCATCATGTGCCAGGTACTATTCTAAGAGCTTTATAACTATTAAACAATCCTCACAATTACCTTATGAAGTATATACTATTATTAGCACTTTACAGATGAGACTGAGGCACAATAAGGTCAGTTAACTTGCCTATACTCACATAACTATTAAATAGCAATGCCAGAATCTGAAATCCAGCAAATTGTATCAATACTGTTAAGTAATGGAATTTTCATGATTATCAAGCAGCGTATTTGTAAAACTGGGCAATTTCAACCATGATAAAATTTTTAAGATTCATGAGGATAGGAGTTGTAAAGATGAGAATTTGAGTTAGAGATAATAGTACTACTAGCACTAATAAAGAAGGTAGGTTTTTAGCTAATTACACTAAACTTAAAATAAAAAATAAGACTCATGTTTTTATATTCCATACATTTTCATACCAAAGAGGATATAATGTAGTCTTATCTTTAACTCAAATAACCGTTTTTTTAAATCTCTAATTTTTATAACTCTTCACTTTGGAAAAATAAAGATACAAACTTTAAGAATGCAACAGAGGCAATGAATCTGAGGCAAAGTATGATGATACGATCATGGTAAACTCTAAAAATTATTTTTAAAATACTGTATAACACAAATAGTATACATTCTTAAATACTAAGGATTATCAACACAGAAAATAATTATTTGACAGAGAATGGGCACAAAATCTGAAAATACAGATATTTTGGATTTTGTTATTTTGAACCTGTTTATTCATTCTGGGGTATGCTACATATTCAGGTTTGTTCAGTAATAACTGACATAAATCATTTAAGACAACAATCATACATGTGAAGGGACAGGTGAAACTGCTGCATTAAACACGCTGTATTCTTTGCAATTTTGACACAGTGCATTAAACTACATTTTGCTAATGAAGAACAAACACCACATATCATATAATCCATGACTATCATGTTTTATAATGTAGTGTTAATAAATTATTCTTTATATTTGGCAACATTTCCAGACCTATGGCCATATTAGTATTTTCTATGTGTTTCTCTATCTATATAAATAGGGAAAACTAATTTTTCTTTCCAAAATATGTATGAATAAATTATTGAAATAAAAGCATACCTTAAAATTTAATACAAGAATTTCAGGATGAAAGTAGTATTACTTTGACAAGAAAATTTTTGAAAACTTCCCAGCCACAAACTATCTTATATTCTGTAAAATTTAGTTTTTGAATCCTTAAGACTTCAGAACTCTCTTCCAACATGGCCGAAGACAACTCTCCAAACAAGACCACAGCCATCAGTCACAGACATGCTGTACCAAATTCACAAATCAACTAAAAATCCTCTTCAAGGCATTTGACCAAAATCCTTACCCAGGTTATGCTACCTACCAAACGAAGACTGGCTTTAAAAGTCAACACTGAAGAGTCTGGAATTCAGATTTGGTTTCAGAATCGAAGAGCTAGACACCAGTGCCAGAAAAAATCAGAACCCGATGAGGACTTAGAATCAAGACAAGCCCAGGATCACCCTGAAGAGGATATTCAAAGTAGAGAAGACTTCCTCACAATTTACACCTTCATCGAGGCATTTACGGACAACCCTTGATAGCAGAGAGCAACTTGCTAAAGAAATTGGCATTCCAGAGAAATTTGGTTTCAAAATCGGAGATCTGGATTTCATGTCCAGAGGAAAAAGACCTGATGATGAAGACTTAGAACAGAGACAAAACCAGGAACAGGATCTTAGGGATGTGAGAGTTCAAGACTCCACACCCGTCGTGGCCTCGAACTCACCACCCCAAGATCAAGAGTCACATGCTCTACTACATGAGCCAGCCAGGTGCCCCTGAAGTAGGTATTTTAAAAAGTAAAATATTGTGGTCAAACAGGGATTCTTATAGGGAGTGTGGTAATTTTTAATACTCTAAAATTTCATACCCAATTAATAGTTATATTCCACAAAAACTAAAAGTAAAAAAATCTGTATTAAAAAAATAAACTTAAGCTTTTAAAAAATTTTGTTAGATGATCAAAAATCAAATTTTATGTTAATTTCTAGGGTTCCATCACCCTACAGATAGGAAAATTTCAAACTCCAAACATGTATGAAGCCTAGGTTTTCTCAGTGGATATTTCTTTCTCACTTCAAATCAAGCAGAAGCATAGAAACTTCCCTGCCATCTGTTATCTAGAAGGTAGGGTTTGTTTTTGGAGGTTTTTTGTTTTGTTTTGTTTTTTGCTTGTGAGGGTTTGTGTTTTGTGTAGAAGTTTAAAAAACAAAAACAAAAAAAAAAAAAAAAACTTCACGGACCCACACTTTGTAAGCTGCATAAAACAACTGGAAAGTTTTTTTTTTCCTTCTGTGCAGAATACTTTAAATAACCTCAAAATGCTCTGCTATTAAAGCTTAGGCCTCAGCTCTGAAAGTTTTTTAAAATAAGTTTAATTATGGAATTATTTTAGATTTGCAGAAAAGTTAAAAAATCAATTCAGAATTATATCCCTCGCCCAGTTTCTAATGTTAGCACCTTCATCATTATACATATGTCAAAAAAGAAACCAACACCAGTATGCTATTAACTAAATGCTAAACTTTATTTGAATTTCACCAACTATTCCACTAATATCCTTTTTTTGAACCAGAATCCAATCCAGGATTCACTGCTTTTAGTTGTATTGTCTTTCTAGCCTCCTCTGTTACCCAGTCTTATATGATCTCTCATGACCTTGGCATTCTGGAAGAGAATTATCAATTATTTTGTAGAATGCCCTTCAACCTGGGTCACTCTTAATGTTTTTCTCACAATTAGACAAAGGCTATATATTTGGGGGAAGGATACTGCATATGTGAAGTGCTCTTCTCATCACATCATATCAGGAAGTATATAATAATATCATAAAATTTATCACTGGTAATGTTAACCTTCATTATTTGGTTAAAGTAGTGTTTGCCAAGTTTCTCCATTCTAGAGTTACTATTTTTCTCTTTCTACACTCTATCTGCAAATAAACAAGTCAGTCCTGCACACAAAAGAGGTGAGGGTAAACTCCATTTCCTGAAATCTGGAGTATCTACACAAATTATTTAGAATTCTATAATAAACAGTTGTCCATTTCCTTCAATTCACTTTATGTAGCTTGTAAAACCCTAGGATAGCTGAGTAAATAAACAATTTACTCAATCACATCCTTTAGATTATAATCCAATTGTTGAAGTTTTAGTCTTTGGGCACACTTTCAGTTGGCTCCTGTGTCCCCTTGATGTGGTATCATTTTTTTCTTTATTCTGGTAAAATATATATATATAAATACAAAATTCACAGAAATATAGAATGCTTCATAATCTACTTATTATCCTTATATAAGGGCCATAAAAATCTTTTCTGTAATGTTACAATTTTAGTACATGTGCTGTTGAGGCAAGGACCCTTTTGTTTTTTGAGTAGTTGCTTGGTTTCTAACACTAAAACACTTCACATTCATTTTCTGTTTTCCCTAACCCAAACCTAGAATGAGTCATTTCTCCACATTACTTTTTTAGAGAGTGGTATTAAAAGCCAGGATCTGGGTGCGGGGTTTTTGTTGTCTTGGTTTCTGGTGGATTTTAATGATAGCTCAATTTATTCTTTCCATTGCTCTACCTGATCTAAAAGACATGTATTTCTATAAAATCAATGTATTCATATTCAAATGTTAAAATTCATTATTCCAAACTGATGTTAAACTCATAAATCAGTCTAATTTTCCAAGAGATATATTTAAAATCTTCTACAGCTGGCCTCTAACTGGGAACTTCATACATTTTAAATATTTTAAGGAAATTTTAAATGAAGTTGTTATACTTTTATAGCCTATGCCCATTACAAAACTTGCTCCTTCATCCTATTTAGTACTAATCCTTAATTCTGTTTTTATTAAAATTATACTCATGTTTTCTGTTTGCTTCTTTTGTGATTCTAAACAGCCTTTTTACCTTACAGAATCTTACTTTATGTGTGATTCTTATAAACATAGTATAACTTGGTTTAACCCAAACAATTGGTCTTTTATTAAATATATTCAACCCGATCACAATTACTGTCACAGCTGACAGACTTGATGGTTTCCTTTCATCCTTTACTGTCTGTTGTATAGATTTTTATTATTTCATCTCACAGAGTAAAATGTACTGATACAAAAGTTCCTCTCACTTTATCTCCAACAAAGATTAACATAATTCTATATAAGAATCCAAGGGTTTGGGGGATCCCTGGGTGGCGCAGCGGTTTGGCGCCTGCCTTTGGCCCAGGGCGTGATCCTGGAGACCCGGGATCGAATCCCACGTCGGGCTCCCGGTGCATGGAGCCTGCTTCTCCCTCTGCCTGTATCTCTGCCTCTCTCTCTCTCTCTCTCTCTCTCTCTCTCTGTGACTATCATAAATAAATAAAAAAAATTAAAAAAAAATTAAGAATCCAAGGGTTTCATGGGCTAGGTTCAACTTAAAGATAACTGCTGCTGAATAAAGCACTCGGGTATATTCATTATAAGGTATTTTATAAACAGTTGCTGCTTCATATCTGGTCTCTGCCAGTCATCTTAGCACAAAAGACTGAAAGAATTTGAAGATCTATTACTATTACAGAAATTTCAAATTTTACAATATGTAAGTCAGTTTTAAATAATTACCTCACTTGTTCCTCACAAATCTCCTTTAAAATGGGCAAATATTATCCCCATTTTACAGTAAGGCATGTGTCTAATGGTATTGCTGATTACTCAATTCCATATCTTCTGACTCCTATTCTAGTATTATTCCAACAAGAATGTAAGCTCCAAGAGGCTAGGGATTTCTGTCTGCTCCTAGAATAGTGCCTGGCACATAAAGTCATTGAAATATTTGCTGAATGTATCAATGAATAAATTTCCACTACAGAAATATGCATAAACCAAAACAGTGCAAAAAGTCAGTATAAACCTTCCAAGACTATTGTGAAAAACAGAATAATCTAAGACCTTTATATTAATCTGAGAATATTAGAGTACTTACATTTTATCTGGCATAACACAGGAAAAGTATTTATATAAACCAAGAGGCTGTTTTGTGTATGATTGTATAAAGAGTTATTTAATATACATTCTTCAGCAATTTTATTTTCAAAATCTTATTAATGGTTTTCCAAAAAATATGTAGTCACGAGTTAACAATTTTAAAGATAAAATGACTCATCGACATCGGAAGAAAATAATGCTTTACTCAAAGATAAAAATAGATACAATGGAAAAATAGTTTTTCTTTCCCAGGAGACAGTAAAATATCTGCACAACCCATTCACCTAAAACATGTAAGAATTGTGAAGTATTTCAGAATTATAAAATATGCCTAATTTCCTGCTGGCAGGATCATCCTTATATTTCAGACCTTAGTGTTCATTAAGGAAGGGGAATATATGCATTTTTAAAAATACTGCAAGCTGTCCTCTTTAATTTCTCTACAACTTTAAAAAATTATAAATTTAAAATTATATGAGTAAACAAAATTATAGAATGTTCTTTCTTTAACCTTTACCAATTACATAAAGTATTGGTTTAATACAAGGGCTATTAACTTTTTTTTTTTGTGGGGAGGTTCATAAGAGGCTATGAGATTCTCATAAAAGAAAACAGATGTACATGCACAAAAAATTCTACATAACACACTGAGGAGAGAAACTATTCCTACAAACATTTGCTTTAAAACAATTGCAATCATTGCACTATTCAAAGAAATGTGCATTCTTAAAAAATTTGTTTCCGTGTTATTTACGTCATTCGACACTCCTGCTAAAGGACATATGCCTACCAATGTTATTACAAAGGGAACAATTAGTGATCATAAATTCTGTTTTAGGTCAAAATAGGAATATATTGATGTTTAGAGTTTTAACACCATGCTTAAGGTATTCTAATTCCATTTTCCCCCTCAACTCTAACTCATAAAGTGTAAAAAGTATTATCAATAAAATATAATAAGAAAAATTTTAATGCTATTAACTGAAAACAACTTTACTACTAAGGCATTAAAATAGTCCACTTTTAAAAGGAAAGCAGTCACGTCAGCATAAATACATAACCATACTAAGAACTGTGGTAAAACATTACCCACATAAGTCAAATAGCATGTTCTGCCATTAATGTTTCCATTTATTAAAATAATCAATAAGCTTTAATGATGAACTCTAATTCAATGGATATTTTTCAAAGCACAAAAATAATCTGACATTGTACTGTTATATCCATGCTCTAATGTCATCAATATTAAGCTTACCTTTCCTTTTGGTCCAGACTGCTTAAAACATGAAAAAGAAAAAAAATGTAAGAGGCAAGACCTCATTTTTGATATATCATTGTAGTTTTAGTACTGCAGTCAATAAGGCAAAACTCTAATGTGATTAATTTATTTTAAACACATTATATATATGTTATATACTAAGTTTAGAATCTTGTCAGATATGTAAACTGTTTTTTCAATTTTTGTTAATACAGAAAATTTATATCTAAACATATTTAAGAAAAAAGGATGTACAGAGATGAAAGATTCTTGAAAAGGGCTTTATTTGACCATCAACCATTTGAAGATATGTTATTTTAAAGTATTCATGTAAATAGTCTTCAAAGAACAATTTCCTGAAAGTTATAAAATTTTTAGTGGTTCCAATTCTGTTACCAGGTGTGATAATTAGCTTCTGAGTAAGAAAAAAAATTTTTTAAGGTTGAAACTTGCATTAAAGCCATAAATTAAATACAGCAGTATATAGTTTGGGATACAAGGCAAGGCCTGAGATTTAAAATCCTAGCCTTTAATAAAAAATCCAATGTATAGCAGGTTCATCCTTCTCCACAGTTTATGGAAAATTTAAAAAGCTATCAGTATCAATAACTCAAGAGCAAAATTATAAAAACTTTTAATCTAGAATAAGATTCATATCTTAGAATTATTCTTCATCATTATAAAATGATCAAAATATTCAGAACTAATTGTAAGCAAAACACTGTTTACAAATTCCCTGAGTCCTTATATTATTCTCATATTTTTATAGCATGGAACAAACAAGTAAAATATCAATCCTGGCAAATTAAAATAAAAAAAAAAGTTATGTGGTTTTGCATAAACAACACTGAAAAGAAACTCTTATTTTAAGTTTTCAATAGTAAAAAAAAAAAAAAGAATTAAAAGCTTACATGAAACCACAGTAGAAATTTTACCTTACCATAAAAAAAAACAAAAAAACAAAAAACAAAACAGGATAATCTGTATAAAATAAATTTATATTGGATAAATGACAAAACAGTGAGGGAATACTACCATACCCCTATTAAAATAAATAAAACGAATATATAGTTTAAGTATAGTCCAACTTATCTATTTATTTCTACTGGTCCTCTATTTCCAGAAAAAAAAAATGAAAACCAAAAGTTAGATATTAATACCTAATACAGCCATTTAGCTTTACACTGTTGTGCCCAAGAAGTGAGAAGAGTTTAGTAGACTCTTGTTTTTGTTTTTTTAAACTCACCTGTATAGAGTAAAGGAAAGAGGTAGAAGACAGAGTAGCAGTAGAAGAAACAGGTTTGGTTCTTTCCAATAAACCAAGGGAGTTAAGGAAGAAAACAAAAAACACAAAACAAAATATATATATGCTCATGCTTATTTTTCTTATCCTTGAAGAAAATGCATTTATTATGATATGGTATCTAATTTGTAAGTCACTGTGCTTCCACAAGATTCTTTAGTATGTGTTTATTATCAAGTCCTGACCTAGAGGAGCGTACATATTAAAAAAATAATAATAAAAAAAAAGCTTTTGAAAAATGGAGAGGGAAGCCATTATTAGTAATGTAGGACTTTTTAAAATGTCAACTTACATTCTTGTTGGACTATTTCATTCTTGTACTAGTGCTGTACTAGCGTTCTTAAATGTTTTAAAAAAGGAAGGAAAAAAGAGAGATTGATTGATTCTGGTATCCATGACCTGATTTAAGACTTCAAAAATTCTTTCAAGGTGTGCTTTTCATTAATAATTAAATCTTGCTTATTCCAGGAGCCCATTTTCCCATTTATGGATTATATATGCTTTTGTAGATATTCATTTTCCCCTACGGTCCTTACAAGTCTTTTATCCTTAATAAAAAACAAAAACAAAAACAAGTGAAAACGTAAATAAAACATAAACCAGTAAATATGCTCTTTTAGCAAGTCTCACTGAAGTTAGGGATGGAGATAGTATAGTGATATATAGATTTTTAAATTTCTGCATTTCATTTTTCTATACTAAGACTACCCCCCACCTTTACTACTAGTACATAAGCAACCTATCTTCTAAATATGATTTATACTAACATTTGTAGTAGCAATAAGAAAATAGATTGAAATGCAATGTTCTCCCAAATAGCAGCTAATCTAATCAGATGTATTAATCTCCATTTATTCCCTTCAGATTAAAAAAGTGTCATGTATTTGTTTTCATAGCTTACTAAAGAACTACAAATTATTCAAAATGCAGGAGTTACTTTTTAAAGACAAATTATAGGGATCCCTGGGTGGCGCAGCGGTTTGGCGCCTGCCTTTGGCCCAGGGCGCGATCCTGGAGACCCGGGATCGAATCCCACGTCGAGCTCCCGGTGCATGGAGCCTGCTTCTCCCTCTGCCTATGCCTATGTCTCTGCCTCTCTCTCTCTCTCCCTGTGTGACTATCATAAATAAAAAAAAAAATAAATAAATAAAAATAAAGACAAATTATATTTCCCTCTCCAAGAGGACTGTATGAATTACCAATTTGTGGCATTTCCTTTCATTTCAAATTAAGAGTTGAGCTGTAAAAGCCAGTGAAAACCAGGGTGCTCACCTCACCTGAAGTCTGACAACTGTGCCAACACTATTAAATTAAAACTAAAGGTTTAAACAAATGAAAAACAATAACAACAACAACAACAACAACAAAGTTTTGGTAGTAACCATCTTAGGTGAAGGCTTTCTTCATGCCTTTGAAGATGTGAGTCCTACCACATGGAGGGTTCTCTTCTAGCTAGTACACTCCAAAGCTTCTTTAATACATGCTTTGTGAATTCTTCACAGCTCCCTTCTCTGTAAATAGCACTATGCAAACTGTGTCTACTACACTGTGCTTACCATGTAATTATTTTTTTTTACTTGTCTTTCTATCCTCTACCCTAGTCAAAATTGAGCTTGAAAGGAGGGATTTTGTCAAAGTCACCGTTGACTACTCTATACCTCATCTATGTGTGGCACGTAGCATAAACTCACTCAAAAATTTTGAATGAAGAAAATGAGAAAAACTCTCAATGAATTGTCTTTGAATGTCAAAATCTTCTTAATGACATTAACATAGTAGGAATAAGAAATGTTTATTCTATAAATAAGGGACAAGGATAAATAGCATCTGTCCTGACATGATTTTTCAGTTTTCCTTACTGCCCCTGGTTGTTCTTGTCAAGGACTTTCATTCAGGATGTCTCTCTAAATAAAAACTAATTCAGCTTGGTTTTTTGGTTTTTTTTTTTTAAAGAAATAATATTTTACTACTAAATGCCATTTTCTCTTCACAGAATCTTTTATGCAGACAGCAATAATATATATACAAGGTATAATAGGTGTCAAGACCTAAAATAAAACAAAGCACAAACCAATTTCCAAACTGAAATCAGTTTTTTAACATTACCAAAGATGAGAGCAGGGATGGGAAGAATAGGTCGTACTGCAAATAATTCCAAACTAATAAATAAGTTCAAAAGCAGTAATAATTTTGGTTGTAGAATATATCATGTGATTATAAAATATAAATGAGTATTTCAACAAGGACCACATTTTCAGAATATCAAAAAGACAAATCTTTGTCAGCAGTGAATTCTATCAACATGATCAGTGTGTGAAAATACTGTGTCTTCTCTTTTTGCCTTCCCATTAATTACTCTCCTTTTATTACTTAGTTTCGTGTTTGTTCCATTTGTTTGGCCAAAGAGCTTGATTTATATACTTTACAGTAAGAGAAGCCAATTTTTTGGTATTTTTTGGTATGTGCAGTAAGTTCTCTTTTTAGTTGCATTTCTCAAATATTATGATCTTATGTTTATCTATGATAAAATAATATATTTATGCAAAAGAAAGATCTTATTCTAAAGTATGAGAAAGATTTAAGGTTTTTAAGTTAAAAATCTATGCTATAGCAAATCTATGTACATAGTAAATATAGCAAGGGTTTCTAAGAGTCACGACATTTTCTGAATGGGCAACAATCTAGATTGACAATTTTAAAAAATGAAGAACAGCATCTAGCATATATACCAAATCTTTAAACTTTACTACTTATAAGAACACTTTACACAACTATTCATACCGCAAAATTATTTTATTGTTGGAGCCTAAGAATTTCTTAATCAATTAAAATTGACTCAGAACTGAAATTCAACTAAAATTTTGTGACATCATATTTCAAACACTAAGCTTTCCCCACTGTTACTTTCATTATTTGAAGGTTCAAGTATTACTTTGAAGATCAATGAGAACATCCAAATCTACTGAAACACAAAATTTTCTCAGTTAAAACTAATAATGTGATTTATTTTATTACTATGAAATCCAATAAATCTTAAAATAAGTAGCACAGTAGAAAGTACTGTAGTTTTTACTCATCAGAGCTAAACTACCAGCTGAAGATTTCTTGTCAACGTTGTAAAATCAGATTAATTTAACTGGAATATAATGCAATAGGAAGGCTTTTATTTAAGTTTCTATTTACAGAATGTGATTTATCCAAAAGCAGATATAAAATAATAAAATTCTAGGACATGAATTACTTCAGAGACAGGAATATCTCATTACAGACAAGAGAAACACAGTAAAGTTCCATAAAGTAAAAAAAAAAAAAAAAAAAAAAAGGTTAAAGAAAAGAAAAGAAAAAAACAGTGCAAAACTATTAAAGAGGATGGTATATATTACTAAACAAAGGCAATTTGAATCCTTACCTTTGGGCTGCTGTTTTTACTAGTGATATCTGTGCGTTAGCATGATGAAAACGTCTACCATGAACTACAGTTCCAGAACATACTGATGCATTTTGTGCATTTTCACTGCAGATGCAAGAGACAAAAAGTAATCTGAACAGAGGAGAATTACATACATATATGCAAAATAAATCTGAACATACATATATACACATAAAAATCTTCACACTAAAAACTATATATCAACTCAATTGACCATGTTAAATTGTCCATTAGGAATTTTCTGGGGATCCCTGGGTGGCGCAGCGGTTTGGTGCCTGCCTTTGGCCCAGGGCGCGATCCTGGAGACCCCGGATCGAATCCCACATCGGGCTCCCGGTGCATGGAGCCTGCTTCTCCCTCTGCCTGTGTCTCTGCCTCTCTCTCTCTCTGTGACTATCATAAATAAATAAAAATTAAAAAAAAAAAAAAAAAAGGAATTTCCCACTTCTCTGAATTTGTCTCTGGAATGTTTCCAATACAATTCATGAAAGAAGATACAGAGTAAAAGAACACTAGAATAGAAATTAGGAATCCCGGGCAACGCTGGCAGTTCAGCGGTTTAGTGCCGTCTTCAACCCAGGGAGTGATCCTGGAGACCAGGGATCGAGTCCCACGTCAGGCTCCCTGCATGGAGCCTGCTTCTCCCTCTGCCTGTGTCTCTGCCTCTCTCTCTCTCTCTCTCCCCCTCTCTGTGTTTCTCATGAGTAAATAAATTAAAATCTTTAAAAAAAAAAAAAGAAAGAAAGAAAGAAATCAGGAATCCTAAATGAATGTTTCATACTATAAAATACCTTATAAATTAATTCTGGCATTTTCTTCTTCTCTATTAGGAACTATCCATATAAAAAGCTTTTAAACAATAATATTACAAAATTTTCTTAAATGCCAAAATAAAAATCAAATGTACGAATTATAAAAAAAAGTGGAGTCTCTAATTCTACTTCTTCAAAGTTGACATTTTTAAAAAATGAAAAACAGCATATGACTTCAAAGTTACTTAGCCTTTATGTACCCCAGTTTTCTATCTATATATTGACAAAATTAAAATGTAACAGTGATTTTCAAGCCTATTTTTGGGAGATGTAAAGCCCAATCATACCAGTAAAAGTAGTTCCCTATGACTACCACTAAGGAAGGGTAGGATGTATCTAGAAGAGAAGAGGAATAAGAAATCTTAAAAAAAAAAAAAAAAGTCCCTTATGAGAAAATTCTGATTATGTATCCTCTAAAGGAGACAGAACCAGTCTACCTCCAGTGCCTTCTACTCCTAATACTATAACCAAGATTTTACTAACTATATGAGAGCATGCTTATCTTATGAAATCCTATTCTATTGAAACTTTTCTTGAAATATTTTTATTCAGAACCAAGAAATCACTGCAATCAACCTTAATCCCAAGATTCAAAGCAAAAAATCCACACCCTGAAGCAATTCTACCTCTTGGCTAATAAAGTGAAAAGAAAAGGTATAGGTTGGGTCAACTGCCCACAAAAGTAGTTAATTTTTTAAGTCAAACCCTTTCTTTTCTATAGAAATGTGTAGTGAAGTGCCTATACCTCAATTTCTTATTGTTGCTCAACATGTTAAGCCCAATGGGGTTGCCTTTCAAAGGTTTTAAATTTTCAGCCTTGTTTCGTCTTGCACATGTCTTCCAGGGATCACCAGAACTGGTAGAAACAATTTCAGACTGACGATTTAACTGTAAAAAGATCCATAAACATTGAAGACTCAATAAACACCATAATACGATTATTTGAAAACCTATTTTTTTTAAAAAGCTGTAACAATTGTACCAGCCATTGGAGATGGGAGAGAGGGATGACACTGGCATGAATTTAAGGAAAATTCAACTGCAATACTTTTTTTTCCCTAAGGATAACACAAATATGTAGGAATATTCATTGTACCAGACATTCAATAAAAGCTTTCAGACTCATTGAGACAAAAGTCTTCAGTTCTTAGTGATAATTTACCCAAAACGACACTTTAAAAATCATTATTTTCGAAGCTTTATTTTGAAGCAATAGTCAAATATTTTATTTTATTTTTCATTCATTTATAAAATAGTCACAAGAAGACAGGAACATGGCTTCCCCCCCGCCAAATGATCTCTACAGAAATCTAACAGTTCCCCTAAAAAAAAACTCCCACAAAAAAGATCTCCTGAGTACAGAGTTCATTGTGCCAACACCATTCTTATTTTAAGCATATCAACATTATAAAATTCCAAAAAAAGACCTATTTTGATACAATGCTTATCACTTTCTCCTCCTTGAGACATTTCTTTACTTCCTAATCTTTTACAGCCATGGGCTTCAGACTCCTCCACTTCTGGTAATGGCAGATTAGGTAATGAAGATCAATTTCCTTCTACTATCTGAAAACTAGGAAAAAGGCTAGACAAAAGACACATTAAAAATATATGTGTTTGAGACATCTGAGGGCTCTGAAAGCAATGAAGAATTAGGAATTAAGATTAGGAACAAGGAACTCAGGGATCTGAGCTCAGATTTATATTTTCCCCTGAGGCATCTATTGATTCCAGAAGATGTAGTTGAGAGGCTAAGCTGAACTTTCAACAGAGAGCTAGAAAGACAAAAAGTAGAGATGAAGATCCACCATATATGAAGGGCTTTGTAAGCCCCTCAAAATTTGGATCAGAATTATATCCTATGAATAAAAGCCTTCATATAGATTGAAATACAGCTTCTAATCAACTCGACCCTCAGTTCAATTAAGGCAATTCTCAAATTTTTAGTATAAATCAGAATTACCCCAATGATTTGTTAAATTCTTGTGTCAAATCTTTACAGTTTATTCTTACTAGGTCTGGGATGGGCCTAATAATGTGCATTTCTAGTGAGTATCAGTGATGCTGATATTGCCAATCAGAGACCATACTTGGAGAACCACTGAATTAAGGTGATCTGAGACTGAGATTAATAATGCTCCTAGTACTAGACAGAAGTAAATACATATCCACTCCAGAAATAAGTAATTTTCTAGGCCTCAACTTATCCCTTTGACTTTTCATATGCAATAGTTACCATTAATAGCAAGCTCAAAGAAATTAGACAATGTGATCAAAACCAAGAGAAACAACTGATAACAGGAAAAAAAAAACATTGGGGATAAAGATACTGGAATTATCACTCTCTTTCATTTATAAACAAAGTACAATCACTTTTGCATTGGGGACCCTTTTTCACAGGAAATAACAGCGTTAGCATGGAAAGATAACAATTTCAGAATCTACAGACTTGTCTTTCTAGCCAGGTAACTTTCCTTGTAATCATGGGATTATTTCCTGCATTAACCAAAATATACACAAATTGCTGAGCCCTGGAATGAGCAGATAGGTCAGAATTCAGTAACCAATAGTTCTCACTCAATTAGAAATACATGTATCTTCTCTTAGAAAGCTCATAAATTGGGGCACCTGGGTGGCTCAGGTGGTTAAGCACTGGACTCCAGATTTTGGCTCAGGTCATGATCTCATGGGTTGTGAGACTGAGCCCCGTATCAGGCTCCATGCTCAGCGGGGAGTCTGCTTGAGAGTTCCTCCCTCTACCCCTCCCCCCCCAATTAATATATTAAGAAAAAAGAAGCTCCATAAATCCATAAATTACTTTATCATAAACTGGTTATTAAGATGCATTTAGCTGAGAAAACTTAGGCCTATCCAGTTATTGTGACCTAGGCCCACTCCCATGTTGTTTTGAAAAAAAAAAAAAAAATGCCCTAAATCAACGAATGGTTGTCAAAGTGTGGTTCGCTAGACCAACACAACCAGCATCCTTTTGGAACACTTTAAAATGCAAATTAGCAAGCCCCTCTCCAGATCTAAATTAGAAACTTTCAAAATGGGTTTCAGCAATCTTTTTATTGAACCTTCTAGGGATCCCTGGGTGGCGCAGCGGTTTGGCGCCTGCCTTTGGCCCAGGGCGCGATCCTGGAGACCCGGGATCGAGTCCCACGTCGGGCTCCCGGTGCATGGAGCCTGCTTCTCCCTCTGCCTGTGTTTCTGCCTCTCTCTCTCTCTCTCTCTCTCTGACTATCATAAATAAATTAAAAAAAAAAAAAACTAATGAAAGCCATGTATCCTTTCTCTAAAGAGGCACAATGAAACTAGAGAAGCCAAAGGCAAAAGGATTATTCTATGAAAGAAAAGGTGAAGAATACTAAGACATTTTTAATCAAAATAAAGGCTTTCTCCTAATTCCATTATCATTTGAGAAGAGGAGCTGTATTAGTTTAAACCAATGATCCATAGGGACCTATATATTACCTACAAACCATTAAAAATCCAGAAATACATAACCCCTTAGCATATACAAAGACTTTCTAAATGGCAAACAGGCATGGATAATTTTAAGGCAATTAAATCCTAAGCCCTCAATCTCCATTTTTACAATTTCTTAACACTGATTTACTTTAAAACCCATCTGTATAAAAGGCATCATACAGTATCTCCCTTCCCAACAGACCTTTATCTGTTCTACAAAAGAAAGACATAAGTCTCACCTATTGCATTAGAATCTAAAAATCTCCAAAAAGGAACAATTGGAAAGACTGGAATCTCTTTTGGCGCAAAAAATGATAGTAGGTCTTCATATCTTTCCCTGTTTTATAAATATTTTGTTAAATAGGCTTCTAACCATAGGTTAGAAACTAGATATTCTACACCAAAGTTATATTTCCTTAATTTCACTGCAAAATGAAAAGAAAAAGTGATAAAAATTTGCATTTACTGGCTTTGTATATTCTATTCCAATTATAATCAAGAAAAGCATTGACCCAAGGAGAAAATCAAGTGAGAACACCTCAAAGAAAGCATAAGTTTTTAAAATGAGACTGAAATCTGCTGTGCCTTATTACAACCAAATAACAAAGGTCAAAACCAAGGCCATATTTTCTACCTGAAGTGAAATGAAATGGCTGTCATGAAGATACAAACTAACATGTATACTTGAAGTGAAAACTGAAAACAAACATTTACAGATAAATAGTATATCTGATTTAATTGATTGGCAGGACCATAGGGACTGGCCTTGTCAAATAAAGTATAAATAGGTATTTTCCACAGAGTAAATGAACAAAATATGCAGTTCCATATTAAAAAAAATACACAAAACAAAAATTACAAAATATTTCACAAAAAAATATGATATTGGCAAAGGCAATATCCTGAAGTTAACAAGATTTCAATTTTTAAAATTATTTCTCAAGTATCTAGTTTTAGGGACGCCTGAGTGCCTCAGTGGTTGAGCATCTGCCTTCGGCTCAGGGTGTGATCCTGGGATCCAGGATTGAGTCCCACACATTGGGCTCCTTACACAGAGCCTGCTTCTCCCTCTGCTTGTGTCTCTGCCTCTCTCTCTGTGTCTCTCATGAATAAATAAATAAAATCTTAAAAAAAAGAGAAAGTATCTAGTTTTAAAAAAGGGAATCTAAAAGTAGCAAGCATAAAAATTGGCTACTTGTTAAATTTGATAAAGCCTTTTTAGTAGCAAATTCAGAAGTGCAATAACTCTAATGACTGGATCACAAATTATTTTTAACTTTTAAATATTAAGTTGCTATGTGATTTTTGGCATTTAACTCAAAAGAAAAGAACTGAAGGATACTGCTATAACAAAATTCTATCCTTCTCCTAAGAGGCACAGTTAGCTAAGTAGCAGACTCTAGGTTTTGGCTCAGGTTGTGATCTCAAGATTTGGGGATCAAACCCTAGGCTACCAGTGGAGTCTGCTTGAGAATCTCTCTACCTCTCCCTCTCCCTCTGGCCCTCCCCACTCCACACTCAATTGTGCATGTGCACTCTCTCTCTGTAATAAATAAACCTTAAAAAAGAAAAAGAAAACTGCTATTGAAAGTTTTATTCTAGCAATAAGTAATACTTGTTCATGGATATGTGAACCAAATGAATAAAGAAGAAAAACATCAGCAGTACTCATCTTAAGAAATACATTTCCAATATAATTTTTTAAAAAGATTTTATTTATTGAGAGACACGGGGGGGGGGGGTGTGCACAGACACAGGCAGAGGGAGAAGCAGGCTCCATGCAGGGAGCCCGACATGGGACTTGATCCCAGGTCTCCAGGATCACACCCTGGGGTGAAGGCGGCACCAAACCACTGAGCCACTCGGGCTGCCCTCCAATATAAATTTACATAATAGATTCAATGATTACAAATACCTGTAATATATTTTTGAATCTTTAATAAATTATAAGGATAATTCCATCCAGTAAAAAAATACTTAGAACCATGTAGTGACAATTATTTAATGTTAAATTTCAATAAATATTTAATGTTAAATTTCAATAAATACATATCTCTCAAAAAAGAGATGGTACATGTATTTTTAAAATAGATGATGCTGAGTATCAAATTAGAATTACCTTTAGAGATAACTGGATACACATAAACATAATTTAAGTTTTATTTTAAAATATCCCCACTTACATCCTTAAAAATGTTTAAGGCATTTTAAAAAAAATTAAGGGCATCTTCACGGAAAAAAAAAAAACACAAATTGAAAACCAATGTCACATAAGTTAGTAACTGAAAACATCCTTTATTTTCCCTGCAAACTACCTTATATTTTTGTCCACTTGAAGAACACCTAACAGCAGCACTCTAAGCAATCAAGATGTTAAAATAAAAGCTAGAGAAAACTGCAACGTGAAAAACCTTGTAGTTTTTAGTGTAACTTTATAAATGAAAATTTTAGAGTACTAAGAGAAAAACTTCAAATTCTATAAATTCTTTAATTACACAAAGTAGAGATGTTATGGGAGAAAAAAAAACAGATTGGCGGAGATTAAACTTAAAAGTCAGTAAAATATTATTTAATGGTAAGTATAAGAAATATGTGAAGAGGGTGCTATGTCAGATGAGTAAAAATTCAAGTTTGACCACACACTTCTCAAGGTTACAAAGAAATATATTATTAGTGGGAATGGCAAATGCTAATTTCCATGAATGAGGCATTTAGCAATAACTAGAAAAATTACATGTAAATTTACCCTCTGTAATAGCAACTGCAATTCTAGGAATCTATCCCAAAATATAGTATAAAGACATGAAAAGACATAAGCATGAGGCTGGCTGGCTTGCTTGTTTGCTTTATTTATTTATTTAGGCATAAGGCATTATTAAAGCACTATTTATAAATAGCAAAAGACTGGGAAAGACCTCAGCTCATCACTAGGGAGCCAACTAAATATCTACTGTTCATTCTACTCACTGGAATACTACGTAACAACAAAAGAGATAATATAGATTTCTAAGTACTTTGCTAGTGGAGTGATCCACAGACCAAACTGCTAAAGTAAAACAATCAAGGTAATAAGCAGTGTTGATAGTTTCTCTGAGAAGGGTTGTATATTCCATTAAAAATGAAAGAAAAGAACAATGAAAGGCTAAATCCATTTTTTTTTAAGTTGCCCATTAGTGAAAGAGAAAAGGATAGAGGGAATCAAAATAAAACCTAGATTTCTCTAATAAAACTTTTTTTGTAAATAGGACTTTGGAATCATGTATTTCTTGTGTAATTATAAAACAACTTATTGTGTAATTATAAAACAACTTAAGTCATTTCAATTGATTTAAAAACACAGTAATTTAGAGGTGCCTGTCTCGTTCAGTCCGAGGAGATGAACCTGGGGTTGTAAATTCAAGCCCCAGATTGGGTGGAAAGATCACTTAAAATAAATAAAAAATATTTAAAAAATTCACTTTAAATAAAACCACAGGGGATCCCTGGGTGGCTCAGTGGTTTAATGCCTGCCTTCGGCACAGGGCGTAATCCTGGAGTCCAGGGATGGAGTCCCACATCAGGCTCCCTGTATGGAGCCTGCTTCTCCCTCTCCCTGTGTCTTTGTGCCTCTCTCTCTCTCTCATGAATAAATAAAATCTTAAAAATAAAAAATAAAATAAATAAAATTAAAAAAAAAACAAGTAATTTAAATACACATTCCTGGTGGGCTATATACTTGGTGGTGCCACCAAAAACTAACAAGCAAACAGAAGGAAAAGATTTTAAATTACTTTATTAGCAATTATATTTGTATTGGTATTGTGAAACTATTTATCTAATAGGACAAAACAAATAAGCAACTAAGTTAACATCATTAGGATCAAAGAAACTAAACCCAGAACCCATATAAAAGGAAAACAATTTTGATATATTTGACAACATAAGAAAATATGTTCTCCAAAGCAATAATCGCCAAAAGCAAAGACAAAAGACTAGTGGGAAAAAACTCGTTTAAAATATTAGCAGATAGTATCACAGCAAGGGGCCAATTTCTCCAACACTTTGTATTTATTCAAACCTAGGAAACCATTGTAAGATTCAAATCATTGTAAATACTGATGTGCAAAAGAAATTTTTCTAATTAAACCATGTCATGCCATTATTATAAGATGCATCTAGACAGATTTCAAAGTTGTCAAAAATGTGTGCCTGGGCTCAATCAACATAAAAAGAATTCCTATCAATCATAATATTCTAAAGACTAAATAGAAAAATAGGCAAAGGATATTAAATGATACTATCCAAAAGGAAATAAAGGACTACACATATGAAAACATTCAACCTCATTTATAGTAAAAGAAATGAAAATTAAGACTACACCAAGATACAATTTTTTGCTGACAAAGCTCAAAAGATCGATAACTGTGACAACTGTGTGGGAAAACAGGCATACTCAGACATTGCTGGTAAAAGCGTAAATCAGGTATAACAAAATTAGAAATGTACATGTCTTGATACAGCAGCTCTATTGTTAGGAATTCATCCTACAGATTTGCTAGTATTTACGCAAAATCACCCATACTGAAGGTGACTTAACTATTTCAGGGTGAAAAGAAAAAGGGGAAACACCATAAATATCCTTCAATATGGTGGTATTGGACAAGAACAATACATCATACAATGGAATACTATACAGCCAGGGAAAAGAACAAGGGTGTTTTTAATGGACTAATGGATGGTCTTTAATAATTTAAAAAAAAAAATTTTTTAAAGACTAAATAGCATGTACGGTATGCTACTAACTGTGTTAATATAAGAGGGTAGGGCAAAAAATATATATTTTCTTCATAATGCATAAAATCTCTGATGGAATAAACAGGAAATTGGGAACACACTAGCCTCGGGGTGGGTAAGTGGGTGGTTGGGAATTTCAATTAAAAAATGGAAAAATCTTCATTTGAAATATTAGCTTTTAGTATATAACCTAAAAAATTTACCAAAAAAAGTCAGAAAAGCAACACTTGCCTTTTTTCCTTTTGAGGTCTCAGAATCCTCATCTTCATCTACACTGAGTAGATTTGCCTCGCTACAGAGAAAATAAGGGAGGGGGGGTAAATCTTAAGTGACAATTACAACTCACACATTAAATTCAGAAGTATATTTACTGTCTTTGTTTACCTAATTCAGGGATCTGCAAACTTTTTCTATAAAAAGCCAGAGATTAAATTAGGCTCTGTAGACTATACAGTCTCTCTACTAATACTCTACTATTTTAATATGAAAGTAGCCACAGATCATATATGTATGGCTGTATTCCAATAAAACTATTAACAAAAGCCAATGGTGGGCCAGACTAGGCCAGTGGGCCATGGTCTGTTGACCCCTGCTACAAACATAATTTTTGTTCCCTTAACTGTAGATTTCACATATAGTCACTCATTTTTCCTGTCTTTGATTTAAAATTAGAGGAAAAGAACAGCGAAACAAAATAGAGAAAAAATGGTAAGAAAACCTTAACTAAAATGTAAAAAAAAAAAAGTGATTCCAATGATGTTACCACAGTAAAAGTTACTTTCACAAATCTTAGAAATATCAACATTTTAGAATACTTGAGATTCTAAAAGATCAGACTAATATATCTATTAATAGTTCAATTTATCCTCAAGATATTACAAAAGCTGAAGCTCCTAAGGATCCTCTTATAATGAGCCAGAGTATAATTCATAAATGAAATATACAGAACAAGTAACACCTTAAAATACAAATTTACATAATCATGACAAATCTAACAAAGAAAGCTAAAATACATTCTTCTAAAGACAACTCTGCTATTTTAGTAAATCCTAGCTATTTATAATAAAAATATAAAATGTTCCATTACCGTTTACACATACCCCAACTGTTTTAGTACTAAAAATTCTCCTTCCAAACATTTTACAAAATGTTTAAAAGGTGACCTACTTCCCATTTAATTTCAGATTTAATTCCAATTTTTCAAAAATAAATACTAAGGGTCTATAATAAAAAAAATATTTAAAATTTTAAAAGTCAGAAATAAAAAAAAACAAGAGAAAGACAAACATAAAACACCGATTTTATCTGAAAACAGTTCAAAGCTCTCCTTCAAATAAAAGTTCACTTCAATTCAAAATCTCATAGGTGAAGGTACATAAAAATGGTAATGAACGGAGCTATTGCCCAGACAGAAGTGAAGCTCCCACAATATTTAGCAAATATACTCTGATTTCTTATGTAATAATTTTTTAAAATACTTATAGATTTGGTAGAACTATATGTATTTATAAATAATGTATATATCTGTGTGTATATATAATGTATATATATATTTGTGTATTTCTGAATATGTGCTAGCCAGTGGAAAACCAGATTAATAAATCATGGCACCTAATAGCAATGGTGAATCGGTAATACAAATCTCATGATATGCAAAAGGTTCTATTAAAACTATCATTTAAATTTTACAATGCAGACATTTCAAGCACACAAAGTATAATACGTAATTCGTTTAACATCTGCTTGGGTCAACATCTGTGTTTATCATTTAATATTGTTTCTGCTTTCTCTGGTGGTAACGTGATCTAAGATGGAGGGGCAACTGTTAAGAAAGATACTATAGAACTTAAACTTCCACACAAAAATTCAGAGGTTTTCAAATCAGTGCCTGAACAGAACGTCCTCTTTAAAAAAATTTTCTTTAACTGAAAATCTTCAATAGTCAATTTTAAATTGTATGCTTATATGTATTACATGCACATACTAACACATTTCAAAAAATTGAAAATGTAACAGCAAAATTACTTAATAAAAAACCCCTGCATTTTCTTTCCTTCATGTTATGTAATAAATGTTTCATTTATTTATTTTTGTAATAAACGTTTTATAAGTAAAGAATATTATGCTCCTAAAAATACTTCCATGGAATATAAGTCATTTTTTAATGAAATGTCACTCATATAAAATATCTGGGGGGGGGGGGAGTTCTTACTCTTTATCTGTGTCTCCTTCACTTTCGTCTCCATGATCAAAGCTCCAATTATTTTTAAAACCTCCATCTCTCTTAGATTCTGATCTAGCCAAAGCTGAAATAAAAAAAAGAACTGAGATAAGTATTCAGTAGAACCATTAAATTTAAAATAAAATTGAGCATTTCCCAAGCTCTTTGGTTAGTCTAGATTCTCTTAATTTTCTTGTTTTTTGACTATTTCTTATGAACATCTTAATTCCTCTAAAACAAAAAACACGTTAAAATCTGTTTTTGCTAATGTACAGTTGTTCATATGCATGAGTTTATTACCAAAGAAGAAACCCAAATTAGTAAAATATAATAAAAATGAGGGGAAGCACATGAATATGTATGAAATATATAAAAATCAACCCTATACCTCCATGTTTAATTGCTAATCTTATAAATTAGTACCCATTAATTAGTATGCCCTATTTACTTCAGTCAATTATCTCCACCTTTTAATAGAAGAGAAATCAAAATTTTCTGCATTGACAATATGGTGAACTTGATGTACAGGAAAACTCTCTAGGTTAGAACACCAAACATGCTCACAATAAGTTTAAAAGAATTAAGTGTAAAGCTTAAACTTCCCGAAGCCATAAACAACTAGAAAATGGGAACTCATAGAGACATAAATGAGGTTCTGAAGCTAGCATTTGTCTTGGGAGTCATGTGACAAAAACCTGATGGACTAGGGATTTAAGATCAAGTTTGGGATGCCAGCAAGATGAGAGGACAGACTGAAGAGTAGAAAACCTGAAGGGCAGCCCTCCAATTAGGTGAACAAGGGGAAAAAAGAAACTGAAAAACAACGAGAGTAATTATGATGTATTGTCTTTGCTCTGGGTTTCTGGGTTGAACTGAAGACATACAAAGTGTATTTACCCCATGGTTAAGGAATCCCTAACCATAAACTCACAATTACTCAGGTTTGGGACCAGAATTTTCATAACTATATCTATGTGGCCCTGAAAAGTCTATAATTAAAATAGTCTCACAAGAAAAGATGCTGAGTATCACTAGATGTCAAGGAAATGCAAATCGAAACTATAATTAGATACTACTTCATACCCACTGTAGAATGGCTATTACATTTTTTAAAAACCTAAAATAGGGGATCCCTGGGTGGCTCGGCAGTTTGGCGCCTGCCTTTGGCCCAGGGTGTGATCCTGGAGACCTGGGATGATCAAGTCCAACGTCGGGCTCCCTGCATGGAGCCTGCTTCTCCCTCTGTGTCTCTCATGAATAAGTAAATAAAGTTTAAAAAAAAAAAACTAAAATAGTAAGTACTGACAAGGATGTGGAAAAATTGGAACTTGTATGCATTGCTGGTGGGAATGTAAAACAGTGCAGCCACAGTGGAAAGGTATGGCAGTACAGCAGTTCCTCAAAAAGTTAAACATAGGGACTCCTGGGTGGCTCAGCAGTTGAGCGTCTGCCTTTGGTCTAGGGTGTGATCCCGGGATCCAGGACTGAGCCCCACTTCAGGCTCCTTGCAGGGAGCCTGTTTCTCCCTCACCCTGTGTTTCTGCCTCTTTCTTTCTCTCTGTGTCTCTCATGAATAAATAAAATATTAAAAAAAAAAAAGTTAAACATAGAATTACCCTATGATCCAGAAGTCTCACTTCCAGGTATATACTCAAAATAAATGGAAACATGTACTCTGACACCTGTAAACCAACAGGTGTAGTAGCATTAGTCATAATAGCCAAAGGTGAAAACAACCTAAGTGTCCATCAAAGGTGAATTAATAAATAAAATGTGGTGTGTACAGGTACCTGTGTATACACACACACACACACACACACACACACAGGAATATTATGCAGCCATAAGGGAATGAAATTGATACATGCTACAACATGGATGAATTCTGAAAACATTACAATGAGTTAAATAAACTAGACATAACAAATTTTGCCACAATAAAAAGCTCTTTTTAAAGGCAAAAAAAAAAAAAAAACCCTCTACCTGACTGACAGAATCAAATATAAATCCTCCCTAAAAAAATATAAAATTTCAATACAAGCCTCAAAAAAAGTTTCAAAGAATAAGAGCTCACAATCAAAAATATCATAAAATAGGAAGGAACAAGTCACGATGAGCAAATCTGAAACTTCTGACATACATACTGGAATTGGACAAATAATAAACAGTATATAATGGAAGCAAGGTTTCTGTCAGAGAAAGAGGTTACAAATAAGCAACAGAAGAAAACTACAACGAACTATTCATTCTAATGATACTAGAGTAAGAGTTATCAGTATGAACTCAATCTTTCATTGATAGATAAAAGTAATATATATAGGTATGTCTTGTACCATGGGTTAGTAGTATACAGAACTAAAGCTTTATCCTCTGAGAAGATCTAGAAAACAGTGACACCCCAGTGGCAACAAGCACACTTAAAGTCAGATCTTGATTTCTATTTGCTTTTAAAGATCTTATTTATTTATTTGAAAGAGAGAGAGGAGAGGGAGAAGCAAGCTCCCCACTGAGCAGGGAACCCAATGCAGGGCTTGATCCCAGGACCCTGAGATCATGACCTGAACTGAAGGCTGCCACTTAACCAACTGAGCCACCCAGGTGCCCCCAGATTTTGATTTCTAAATTCTCTAATAAAAGAATTTATTATTTTCTAAAAGAAATTACTGATTATAGGGATGGAGCAGAAAAAATGTAAGATGAGTCTGGATCTTGGGGGCCTGTTTTCTACACCAGGAAATAAGGAGGTTCATTTTTTTAAAAAGATGAGGGAATGTCAAAAGATCTCAGGAGCCAAAATGAACCTCTTAATAGGTGAACAAAGGTGAAATAATTTTAGCCAAACTAACAAAAGTACTGGATTATAACCCCCAAAGTAAAACATTCACAAATCCATACTGACATAAACAACTGAATAAGTAAACAAATGGGGAGAAAAAAACATATCTTCCTTTAAAAAGAATTCCAAATTATATTCTTTCCTGTGAAATATGAAACTTAGTTCCCCTTCCCTTCAGTATACACTGGACTTGGTAGCTCATTTCCAGGAACTGACTACAGAAAGGGGAAAAACAATAAATTGACAGTGAGAAATCTGACAATCATTACTTCAGCCATAAGGTTAACATCAAAAGTAGGAAATACTGTTTAATATGATGTAATGAATATTCCACTTCAGTTCAGTGGTCTTCTTCCCAAACCTCATAATGTCAGTTTAATCGTGAGAAAACACAGATAAATTCAAACTGAGGTATAGTCTACAAAATACCTGACTAGTATGCTTTTAAAACCATCAAAACTATGAAAAACAAAGAAAGATTAAGAAATTGTCATGTATCAAATATATCAAAGGAGACTAAGGAGATGTAACAGCAAATGCAGTGTGGTATCCTCAATTGGACACTGGAATTAAAGAAGAACATCAGTGAAATAAGTAGGGAAATCCAAACAAACTGTGTAGTTTATATCAGAGTTTATATCCAATGCTAATCTCCAAGTTTTTGAAAAACATACTATGATTATATAAGGTGCCAACATTATGGGAAGATACATAAATGGTATACAGAAAATATAACATTTTTGAAAATTCTCTATGAATTTAAAACCCTCAAAAGAACTTTTAAAAATCAAATGTAAGGGAACCCTGGGTGGCGCAGTGGTTTGGTGCCTGCCTTTGGCCCAGGGCGCGATCCTGGAGACCCGGATCGAATCCCACGTCGGGCTCCTGGTGCATGGAGCCTGCTTCTCCCTCTGCCTATGTCTCTGCCTCTCTCTCTCTGTGTGTGTGACTATCATAAATTAAAAAAAAAAAAAAAAATCAAATGTAAAATGAACCTGTTTTAAAAAAGAGATGGGACAGCCTGGGTGGCTCAATGGTTTAGCGTCGCCTTCAGTCTAGGGTGTGATCCTGGAGACTCCAGGATGGAGTCCCACACTGGGCTCCCTGCATGGAGCCTGCTTCTTCCTCTGCCTGTGTCTCTGCCTCTCTCTGTGTGTGTCTCTCATGAATAAATAAAATCTTTAAAAAAAAAAAGAGAGAGAGAGAGAGAGAGAGAGAGATGGTTAGGGGTGCATCGGTGACTCGGTTAAGCATCTCCCTCTGGCTCATGTCATGATCTTGGGGGCCTGGGATCAAGCCCCACATTGGGCTCTCTGCTCAGTGGGGAGTCTGTTTCTCCCTCTCCCTTTGCTTTCCCTCCCCCCTGCCCTCCACCACCACTAGTGAGGCTCACACACTCTCTCATGCTGGCTTGCTCCCTCTCTCAAATAAAGAAAATCTTAAAAAAAAATCTTTAAAGATGGTTAGGTAAAGTTATACTACCAAGACAGAAAGGGTAATAAACTATAATGATTACTAGCCTAAGACTCATAATCCAGCAACTAGTATCCATCAAATGAGTCAAGCAAGTTAATCAAAAAGGTCACCAGGCAGCAAAAAGTCAAGAAGTGTTTATTATTTACACACTAGTGAAACTAGAATTCTATACTCACAATTCTAATAAATCTAGTGATATTATTTCCTAGTTGACAGATTATAACCTATAAATGAATAAATGACAGAAAAATCTCATGAAAATGATTATTATTAATAAAAAAATTACAAAAAGCAAACACATTTTAAAACCCAAGTTTAGAGCAACTTGGAGTAGGAAAAAAAACTCAATTCCTTGAAAGTCTTTGAGAATATTACCACATCTCAATATCCTGCTATGGTTGACATTAGTAATAAGGAGAGTGGAAAATTATGTCTATTATATTCCACTTATGAAATTGAGTGCAAGAAGAGATAAAGGTTAAAGAGAGATCCCAGTTAAGTAACCCAAATTAAATACATGCATTTTTGTTCATACACTTCACTAAAATGACAGTGATGGAAGGAGGGGAGAGAAAATAGAAACCCTTAAGAACAAAAAGGAGACCAGAAAGGAGATAACAGTAAATAAGGCATGTAACTAAATCAGTGAAAGATGAAAATTTGATGGATGGGGACAAACTGACTTAGTTGACTAAAGAAAGCAAACCTAAATACCTACACAAATATTACCGAACTGATACAAGATTTGAATACTGCTGCATCAATAAAAGACA